CCAATTTTTTCAATGGCAACAAAACAATGTCAGTTGCTTTTTTAAAGTCATAGGCTCACTTCATCGAGTTTTAAGAAAATGTTTGCTAAACAAATTAGAACAGGAGTACTTGGCGTGACAGCTATTCCTCCAAGTAAAAATGATGTTGCATGAAAAAAACGCAGCTTGTTCAGCTGTAACTCAAACATACACAAGTGCTTTTCCTCAAGATAACCATCATGCATTAGCATGCACCAAAGTACTTTATTCTTTTCCTTATTTATTGAGATATAATTAACATATAACATTATGTAAGTTTAAGGTGTACAACATAATGATTTGATATATGTATATATTGCAAAATCATTGCCACAATAAAGTTAGTTAATTACATCCATCACCTCACAGTTACAAATTATGTATGTGTGTGATGAGAACTTTTAAGATCTACTCTTCTTAACAACTTTAAATATACAATACATATTGTTAACTACAGTCAACAAGCTGTACATTATACTCTCCTCAAAGGACACCTTCACCCCTTATCCCCTTCCCTTACTGCTGCCCCTGGCAACCACCACCTTGCTCTCCGTTTCTATTAGGTCAGCAACCATCGTATGCCTACTTCCCATTTTGTCATGCAAGATGTTAACATGGCATGCATTCAAGGGCTGAGATTTAATAACATTAATAAGTTTCACTGCTTTACAGAGATATTCTTGGGAGTAATATTTTTATAATTGCACATGTATGGCAATGAAAAATGCAATGACTGCTAGTACAGTTTGGCACCAGGGCCTCAAGTCAAGCTAAGGTGCCAGGAGTTTTACCTACCATTGTTTTTGCACCATGCTTGCAAATGTCACCCCCCGTGAAGAGGGCAAATAATGTTTTAGTATTATTATGCAAATAGCTTTTCTCTCTAAATCACTCAGAAAGCATCTCAGGGACCCACAGGTGATGTAGGCACTAAGTATCATAAATGATTACAAACAATAGTCCTCACTTCTTTGCCTAGCTAGAGGAAAAATTGGGTCAAGCATTCAAAGCTGTGCAGATTGTGCAAACTAGATGGTAAGATGCACTAACAGTAACACCTGATCACAGTTCGGAGGCCCCAGTGCCATTTACTAGTCACAGGACCATTATCAGTGTCCTTTGTGCTCCTTTGAGTGTCTTTCTCAAATAACGTCTTCCTCTTAGGATGGCTGGTTAGACCAGAACTATTCAAAGTGTGAACTCTTAGCATCAACATCTCCTGGGAATCATTAGAAATGAAAAGACTAGAGCCCCAACATACACGTGTTGACTCAGAATCCCTGGAAGTGGGGTCCAGGGATCTCTCCTTTATCAGGCTCTCCTGGTGACTTCTACCTACATTAAATTTTGAGAAGCACTGACATCAGACAAGTTAAAGAATTAGAAACTGTTAACACTATGGATTTACATTATAATGATAATAAGTAAAAAAGAAATGCTTTCCAGGCAAAGAACTGCATAAAGATAGTATTCATGTATTTGGTTTCAGGACCCCCTTCTAAATCATTAAACATACCTTATTAATATTTGTATCATCCACCATAGTGTTGCACTGGTCTTACTGTTGATGTCAGAGATATATGACACAGAAATGAACTTAAAAATTCAAAGCCAAGAAATAGCCTGGGGCATGGGGAGATAGCAAAGAGTGTGTGTAGAGAAGCAGTGGGAGGGGAGACAGAGCTTGCTGTGTTAAAGTATAGGATGATATGCTTACAGTATCCTACACAACAGAAGATAAGGAACTGTTACGGATTCTTGAATAGCAAAGTGACACGATGATAGGCATGTTTTAGGAAGCTGGTTTGGTAGCCATGGTACAAAATTAATTGAAGGGGAAGGAGCAACTCGCATTTTTTTTCCTCCCCATAGAAGAAGAAAGCCCTCCACCAACTCTGGACAAGATCCACACATCATATGCATTTGTCTGGTAGGAGTAAGACCAAGATGAAGAAAACTAAAAATGAACATGTGGCATTTTTGTTATTTATCCCAACACAGCACCGTACCTTCCCATTCACTGCTCTCAAGCTCTTGCTCCAATGGCCTACCCCCCTGCCAGCCTCCTTTTTCTCAGCAGTCCAAGTTCTCCCCCCATCAAGAAGCATATGTTTTCTTTATTTCCTATCCTTGATCTTTCTATGCCTATTGAAATTTCTAAATGATAAGAAACTATTTTCGCAAGAACGTCTTTGCTGAAGGCAAGGAGAAATGGAAAAGCCTCATGCCTTAGTCACGGTCGGCCTTTTTTCGTGACAGGTAGATCATTATCAACAGCTTTTTGAAGATAATGCTTTTATTTTAGTATTAAAAAAAGAGGAAATTAGGGGTTAAGAAGAGAGAATAAAATGAAAACAGGATAGAAGCAACATCTCTGACCTGTAGCCTCAGAAAAGACTAGCAAGTCAAAAAGACAAGGACCTTGGAGCTAAAGTTGAGTTTATCTGCTTGTGCATGTTGGAGACAGAACCAGGTCAGAATGTCCTGCTGGGATTTATCTGTCCTGGATTGGAATTACCCTGAGTAAAACTAAAAGCATTTAATATGGGGTATATAGCAATGGTTGAAGAAGCCCCTCAGGTTTGACCCTTAATTAAGCTGAGCTAATTATATCAATAGAAAATTATTCAAAGCTATCCCTGTCAAAAGCATTCAAATTACCTTTCACTTCAGCCTGTAATTATATTGGAAGTGGAAGTGAAGAATACTTAGGGGAGTGACATAAATCATGTGACATTAAAATTTCAAAGGAAGGCAAAACTACAAACCAAGAGTGGGGAAAAGTAGATTTGAGCTTGGGATCTTTTAGCATATTTAGATGTGCATGAAGATGCATGCCTTTACTCGATTTAAATTAAATGCAGCACTCAAATTCAGTTAAGTGGGGTGTTAAAATGAAATCTGAAGTTTTTTTAAATGTTATCGAAGAATTTTGGGGTGGAAATCCCATGAGAAGGCAATATATTTATAGTAGTATCATACACATGAAAAAGGAAGCTTTTTAAAAATTACTTGAGAATGCCATTTCTCATTTAACCATTTGAATTGAAAACAATATCTATTTATTGGAATACAAGCATGGAAATAGAATATAAATTACAATTAATTTGGTCCCTTTCTCACTCACTCACTGGTAAGACCTAGCAGAGCTCCAGGTAACAAAGGCACCACCAGGAGCAATGCACAGACATGGTGAATGTCTTCACAGAGTTTTTTAGTAAGGGATATAGGGGGAAAAAAAGAAGTAAACAAATAACTATAAATACCTAGCCATATTTATAGTCTGTATTATATAAAGAAAATTTTAAGTGCCAAATAGAAAAACAAGTGGCTAAAAAAAAGAATTGAAATGGGGGGAACCTTAAATAAAATTGTTAGGGGAGGCATCTCTTAAGAAGATGACGTTAAACCTCAGACCAGAAACTATCCAAAAGAAGAGTGAAGAGAAGCTGTCTTCTACAAAGAGGGACTTAAAAGCCATGCTGCTGAGAGAAAGTGGAGAGAAATAAGGACAGAAAGATGTCTGGTAGATTTGACAATCTCAGTGGCATTCATTTTAGTAGATTCGTTAAAAAGATTAAGTGTGAAGAATCTCACTGGAATGAATGGGAGAGAAAGCCAGGGAGGAAATAGAGACACATCTCTTTCCCTCTCATGTTCAGCTGTGAATGGGAGCTAAGGAGAGGCTGACAGCTGGAGGGAATGTGCAGACCAAAATTGTCTGGTTTTTTCCCCCAAAGACAGAAAGCCTGGAGTATGTTCATGTGCTAATAGGACTGGGATTGGTCTAGGGGAGACCGAGAGAATGGTGAGAAGCATGGATGGGGTCTGGAGCGCAAGTGAAAGATTGGCTATGAGCAGGGACAAGGTGGAAAAATGGTTGTTTGGATGCAGGTCAAGGTGTGGAATTACTGGCGGGAGCTCTGGAAACACTCCTCTCTACCACCCTCATGTCCTCATGACCTCAGAATCCTGAGCTGCTCCTCATACTTGTTTTCTCTTTACCTCCTGAAACTCTTTCTAGAGTTAAACCATTGTCATACCCTATTGGCTTTAAAATCCCTAAGAATTTCATGTAAATAATTGTTTATTTTCCTAAATACCCAAGTAGGTTGCAAAGATTGCACTGCCAATTCAATACAGAAATTCTATTAGTAGGTAGTCCTACGATTTTGTTTATACAAATAATGTGATAAGCCAAATATTTTAGAACAAATAGAGGTGGGAAAAAAGGGGGTCGGGGTGGGGGACAAGATTCAGAGTTTTCCGTATATTTTTCCGCAGCATCTTTCATTATGTTGCCAGGATCTTGATACTCATTTTTTCATTCATGCCACTTCCTCACTTCATATCAGTGTGGCATTCAGATTATTCCTTGGATATAATATCCCCAGTGCTTTATAGAATGTGTCTGGTCTCTGAAAATGCGTGTATTTATATATTCCTATATCCCCTCATTTACTTTCTATTACTAAATTAAGAAAAAAATAACAGGAGACATAACAAAAATCATAATGCTGTGCCTGTTCAACTAGACAGACTATTTTTCAAATATAATAGCATATGCTATTTTAATAGAAAAGAATTTTTAACTTTTCAAATCCAGATGCACTGAGTTATTTCAAGCTCACTGCCATCGGTTGCCTGGTATGGAGGAGCATGTAACTCAGATAAAGCTGGAGCCACTGGAGCAATCACCGCAACTCACCAGTTAGAAGGCTGCTTGCAGCAGTGATACAGGCTGGAAAGTCCCCTTATCCCCCAAAAAGCCCGGTGAAGAGGTTGATATGGTGCTCAGGCTAATGGTTTCCTGTTGTTCATACCATCTGTCATCCCACTGGACCACACAAACAGATGATGCAAAGAAATTCATCTTTTAGGTTGACATCACACAAAGTCATTTTTTAAATTTAAGGGCATTGGTAAATTTCATTTGATATCAGAATTAATCCAGAAGCTTATAAGTAAAAGAAATAGTGAGAGTGCTCACTTTGGCAGCACCTATACTAAAACTAGAACAATACAGAGATTTGCATGGCCCCTGTGCAAGGATGACATGCAAATGCATGAAGCATTCCATTTTTCTTTTTTAATGTAGTAAGAAAGTTTCAGATAAAGTTTCAAATATCACTAAAGGAACAAAAATCATCTAAACCTTAGTTGCATTTCTAACCTTTAGTATAAAAGCATTTCTCCTACAGGCCTAAGTTTTAGGCAAGCAGTTTGATTTGTTCAACTGCCTGTCTTCAGTAAGAAACATCTGCCCAGAAAAGTTATGTATGGGCTCACAAATGCAGGGAGCAGACCAAGATGAATAACTTAATATTCTTTCCAAATGTCAAGCTCAAAATGAGATTCTACTACATACCCACGAGAATGGCTAAAATTAAAATCAAGATAACAAATGTTGGTGAGAATGTAGAGTAAGATGAATCCTCATATTGTTATATTGTTGATGGTAGCATATATTCCTAAATTAGTGAAAAATGATTTGGAAAACTGTAAATGTTTAACATGACTCCCCGGGGAGCAGGACTGATTTGTAGCATTTGCTGCTGATTCCTGCAGGATAACTGCACCCCTGATGGCCAGTTTCAAATACCAATGTGATATTACTGAAGCAAAACTTGGGAAGTGATGTGCAAAATTGACTCTCCTGAGCTGGCACAAGTCACTCCATCTTACCTTTGACTAGATATGAACATACAGTTTCCCCATAACCCTGAAAATTTCCTCTGAAAGAGCTGCATATACCTGTTTACCAAAAGCTACATACAGAATGCTCACAGCAACAAAATTCATAAAAACCAGAAATCAGCAACAACCAAAATGCCCATGGAGAGGGGAGGGAATAAATAGTGCTGCATGGACACCATGGAATAAGATTCAACAGTGAGCAAACTGCTGCTGCACACAACACAGATGAATCTTTCAAATGTAATGCTGATCAAGAGCCAGACACAGCTAATGATTCTATGCATACAAACTTTAAAAACAGGCATGACTAATCTGTGGTGCTAGAAACCAGAATAATGGCTACCTTACTGAGCAGGAGCGCCTGCAACAGGGAACAGAGGAGGCTTCCTGAGCTGAGAGTAATACAGATACGTTCAGTTCGTAGAAGTTCCTTGAGCTGTAAACTTATGATTGGGCATTTTTTTTGATGCATGTCACACAACAATAAAATGTTTATTTATAAAAACAACTTTTGTGACAAAGCAATTACAGGAGTTACTTTCCTGTGTGGTCCTTCTCTATATAATCCTGTCATCACTTTTTAAAAAGAGTATGGACTTTGGAGAGACTGGATTTCAAGTCCTGGCTCTGGTACTTGTAAGCTGTGTGACTTTGCACAAATTACTTAACCTCTCTGAGCCTCTGTTTTCTCATTTTTTATACAGAAATGATAATATCTCCTTCACTGGTATATAATGAAGATTAAAAATAATATATGATGAAAAAATAATAATAATAATAATATATGAGGGTGCTAATGTAGTGTCTTTTCTGCAATTACAAGCCATAATCAAAATAGCTAGGGTAATCTTTTAAAAAAAAATAAGTCTTACTATATCAGTCCCTTGCTTAAAACCCTACAATTACTTGGAAAAAAATGAAATCTTTACCATGGTCTACAAGGCTCTACATGGCTTGGCACCTGCCCTCATCTCTGCCTTTGCCTCCTGCTACATTAAATCTCACTGCCAGCATTCCAGCCAACTGCCTGTTCTTTGAACACACCCAGCTGGCTGTTGCCACAGGGCATCTGCATATGCTGCTATCTCTTCTTGGAATACTCATGCCCCACATACATAAAGGTCCAATTCCATCTCTACACAGATCTTAGGTAAAAAGTCATCTTCTCAGAAAAAGGCCTGCCTGAACTCTTAATAAAAGAGTCTCCCGTCACTCCCTGTACCATCATTACCTTGTTTTATTTTCATTCCTACATTTAGTGCTAGCTGAAATTTTTACCCCAATGCAATCTTCTCCCATTATGCAGCCACTCACCTCAACTGAACCAAAAGAAGGCAGAGACGCTGTCTGTAATGTACTACTGTACTTCCCAGTACTAGAGGAAGGCCTGGCAGGCAGTTGATGCTCACTAGATGGTTGTTGGCTGGAAGAATAGACTAACAGATGAACAACTAATAGGTCTCTTCTGTTTTACCTCAGATAAGTCAGTGTTTCCTTCTAGGCTGCACTCAGTACAATCCTGATCCAAGAGAGAGAGGACCCCTTGGGATATCCCATATCTCAAGAGAGTTTATTAATTTTTTCATTGCTTTTATGAGATATTTGAGAAAGAAATATACTGACCACATTTGCTTCTTAAACAATTCAGTCTTTATGTGACAATTCTCATTTCCATCCTGTTATAGACCTTAATTATTTGACAAATTCAGGAGACACCCAACAGAAAAATGTGTTGTATCACCTCCCCATAGTACAATGCCTTCACTGAACAGAGTAAACAGAAATTGTAAAGACTGAAGACATGGACTGCTACACATGGGAGGCTGTGTTAACCCAAGATGTGATTTTTGCAACTCTGTTATACCTCTTAGAGGACTGTACTTAGGGCCCTTCTTGCCCTTTGGATTTCAGTGGAGAAATCCTAAAATCTCTGCCTTGAATATGGCTCTTTGAAAAGCAGTTCTTGCTATTCCTGGGAAAATAGGTCTTTAAAATCCTTAGTCATTTTCCCAGTGTAAAATGAGCAATCCTTTCAGGACATTAAAAATATTGTTCATCTGCATAGTCTCCTGTCTATTTGTAATCTGTGTTCTCTTTCTTATTTGTCTAGTCTTAGGCTGAAAGAATTCGTTAAAATTAAAGCAAATCACCAATATGTAAACCAAATCATCAGAGGGAGTTTTTCTGTTTCTCTGTGCTGAATATTTAGAGTCCTACTCAAAATCACTTATGTTTCAAATTGTTTAAAAACACATTTAATTTAATGATCCCCTGAAGTATGAGAATGATAATCATTCTACCAACTTATGGAGGCTGATATATAAAATTTTATGTTATCCTATTAATTTGGGAACCATCAGAAGGATTATTATTTAAAGCAAGCAGCAAAGAATTATATCTCAAACTGTAGTTTTTTTTAAAAAGTACCTTTAAAATGGGATTTTAATATTTGAGCACTTTATCTAGCACAAGAGGAGACTGCATCCTTATAGCAAATATAAATGGATATAGACTGGGAGCAGGGCAGGAAAGGATGCAGAAGTGAGAAATGGAAACATACAACAAATTATCTGAAACCCATTATAGACCCAGCCGGGCAGGGGTTTGTCTGTTTTAGAGAGAATTAGTAACAGAAGGATGTGGATGCCTTTGATCGATGAGAAACCCTGGAGAGGTGAGACCTACACAAGTTCAGGGTTAAAAAGAGAGTAAAAACAAAATGCTTAGAGGAGATGGGGTGGCAAAGAGAGCCAAGAATTGTTAGAGTCGTGAAAGCTAGCAAGCCCAGAAACTATGATCAACATAACTTCTCACACTTCATTCAGAGCTTTCTTCCAACTGCTAAAACCATGTTACTTCATAGCATTTGGGCCACCTTTACCTGTGAAATATATTAAAACTGACTTTCAAAGAATGAGGTTTCCCTTCAATATCATAATTAAATGAATGTTAAAAGGAAACTCTTATAATGAGTTTAGAAATTAGATCATTTCTTTCCTCAAGAGGCAGCCTTATTTTATAGTCCGGATGGCAATGCTGACCCTTATTAACACAGATTAAATTGCCTATCACCTAAATTGTGCCACATAGTTTTATCCAAGAAAAACAATGAATATTAGAAGCCCAGTTTTACACAAGAATTTCTTCTCTGATGAAAGAAAAACAACTTATCAGGAAGCATTAACCTCAACCCCTTCCATGGAGATCTGAATCAGTCATGTAATTGCTACACAAACATAGAAATGTAATTTTTGTATCAAATATGTGTTGGAGAAAACTAAATGAAACCTACTAGTCCAGTGTCAAATGCTTTGGAGAATGTTGTCACTGATACAACAAAATAGTTCAGGGCAGTTAAAATGAATTAAAATGAATGAAGACAAAATACATTTGCAGTATTTTACTCATGAAAACAAATAAATGAAGCAGTTCTCTTTATTTAAAGTAATCAAGTCATAAAGTTCTCTTTAAAATAAATTTTCAAAACCATTTAAGTCGAACAATAAACATATTGAAAATTATTCTTTACACAATTGAGGGTTAGAAATTCTATAGAAAGAAGATCATAAGAGATCTACACAATCAGTCACATGAAATCCTGACAAAGTCAAACCAGATGCAAAGAAAAACAATTATAACTGAAGTTAATACGGCAACAGCCTTGAGCACGTGAGGTGGTAACTAACTACGAATGAACGACTGAATAAATCTAGCTAAAGCACCTCATGCTTCATCCAATAATGGTAAATTTTATTATTTCCCATATTGTTAAGTGCACTCAGAAAATGAGAATCAAACTCTAGGTTCAAATTCCCTAGTTTGGAGTGTGACAATCAAAATACTCCCGGAGAGGCTGTTTAGGGTACTGGTTAAGAATGTTATTCTGGAGGAGTCTCAGACTCCCACCCCACCTTCTCCTGCTGGCGTTGGACTTGCCTGGTGGTTGACCTTTGTGGGCCTCAGTGTCCTCGCTTGAACACAGGGATCAGAGTGGTCCCAGCAGCAGCGACCCTTATTTTATATACAGATGCTACAGTATCTTTTAGCCATTCATTGGTTTTCTGAATTTACCACAATACAGAGCCAGGTTCTTTGGAGGACCAGAAAGGGGTTTTTATCAATAAATCCAGAGTCCACTAGGTTCTCAGTAGCAACTTTATAATAACTAAAACCACAAGAGAGTGTATGTGACTGGGAATGCCAAATGAGTATTATACTCACATTTCACATGAGGGAATCTGAGGTTTAGAAATTTCACTCTCCCGAGATAACAAAGCTACAGAATGACAGAGCTGCCCTTCAAACCCTAGTCTGAAACACCCAATACCATCCTGCATTAATGCTTCCCATAAATGCTTTTATTCCACAATAAAGATGTATAAGCATACC